ACTCTCACAGATCCTGGACTTTGTTTATTCTAAGGTAACCACAGATTGGATGAAATGGCAAGTTGGACAACTCCGGGAAAGGCACTCGAAGGACTTGGTATATAGGAGCCACGGGCAGCCCCTTCCTGATGCTCTGAGTCAGGTCCTGCCGTGGGTCCCGCCCAAGTGCAAAGATTTCTTATTCACTCTCCCACCCCCACTCCTTCCCTTTCTAAAAAAGCACTTTGAGAGCAGGAGGCTGTGTTTAATTTTGTGCCAACGTGAAGCTGTGGCTGAAGGGAGCAGGGCTCTGGGGCTGGGTCACTTTGGTAACACTTCCCACATGACTTTATCAATGGGTGGGCCACAAAAACTTATCCTGTGTTTTTTTACACCCCACCCCCAAACCACCCAACCTGCTCAAGTGTTAGTTTTTCAAAGCCCAAGAAGTTTCAAAGGCCCGAACCCAACACAGGGGCCTTTCTTCACGCTTTGATTTTCTGCCCGTTAAGTGTTTGTCAGTGAGTTCGTATTTCGCCTCCTCTGCAACCTACATATCCCAAGAGGTCCCTGGAGGTATAGGAAGTTAATTGATCCTTGATTAAAAGAAGGAGAAGTGCTTTGAATTGGGGTCTAGAATCACCAGATGGTATGTATACACACACACACACACACACACACACACACACACACACTTCTTGTTTCTACTTTGCAAAAAGCTTGTAATGTACCTTTCATTATAGATAAATCTAAATTCCAGGATATTGGCTTCAGAGTGTTGGTTAAATTAGATACTGAGCACAGATGTGTATGTGGTGAATATTCAGTGAGTAATCGCCCATGCTGTTGCCTTGACTGTTCCATATAAAGCATCTTTTTCTTCAAAGGCGATGAAATTTGCTGAGCTTTAACTAATTTATCAATATACCTCGGGGCTTCCTTCTCTGTTTCAAGTGACTCGTTTACTTTAGAAAGCACTCGAAAGTCCGAGTGTCTCTGGTAAGTCACTTTAATCCCTTTGAACCTTCGGGTGACTGAATGTGTTCATTTTTATGACTGTTTCTCCCATTAGCCTTTGGGCCACTTGAAGGTTGGGACTTAAATTCCCTCAGCACAGTGACCCAGTCGGTGCCGAGAACAATAATGGGTATCCAGATTGTCCAGACGGCAGTCCTTTATGTGGGGTTCCTCAGCACAGTTCGGGCACAAAACAGTTATTTAGTAAATGTTAGCTACTCTTGCTGTTGTCTGTGTTGACTCTCTCTTTCTTCCTTTCGTTGTCCACCTGTGTGTCTCTTCCAGCTCTGGAGCCAAATCTAAAATCGTGTTCTCGTAATGGCCATCGGTTGTGATGACTGCCTTATTGAAGTCCCTAAACTACTTCGAGTTTCTTGAGCGTACTTAGTCCCTGGACCCCAGAAACCTCCTACTCACATAAGGGTTCCCTCAAGCCTCCCGTCCTCTGTGGGCCATCTTTAGTGTCCCTGGTGGAGAAGCCTTATGGGCCCTCCCTGTAATCTATACATACGTCAGTCTGCCCATTTAGAAATATTTTAGTGCGCTTGTTTTTGCAACTTTCTCAAAATACCATAAGCCTCCTGAGGGCGGGTACTATGATGTATTCACCTCTAGGTTCCTAGTCATTAGCACTGGGAATTTTTTGGAAATGAAGTGATCAAGAACTATAGTAGTTGGTTATAAAGACGGTGCCAGTGTTGGAAATGGAGATCCTGCTTTGGAAAAGAACAGCCTCCTCTCTGGGTCCTGGAGAGGCAAGGAAGGCATGGTGCTGTGTCTCTTGAGGACCAGCTACCCCATTGGAGAAAATGCCTATGCTTTTCCCATCAACTGAAGGGAATCCGAGGTTACTCTCTCCTGGAGTGAAGTCAAGACTTGACTGGCATCACCCCCGATCATACCACACATTTTTAGAGGAAACAGAAAAAGCCATTGGGTCTTCTAAATGCTCTCTCCATGCCTTTCAAGAAAATAAACAGAACACATTCAGATCCAACTTCTTGACTGTTTGTGGGCACCATCCACATGATCAGAACCGGAAGCTCCCCGAGCTTTAGGCAAGGGAGGAAGAGAAAGGATTTGGATCGCTCCCAGGTTAAGAGAGGGCAAAGGAACGGAATAAACAGATTTTCTTTACTAACTTTCTCTGTGGGATTGTTCCCCCCCACCCCCTCTTCGTCCTTTTAACATTTATTGAGTGTCTGTGGTGCGTGCCAGACCCGGAGCTGACATGACCCAGTGCTGTTGCCTGGTTTCCTCTAACTAAAACCCCTTCCTGCACTGATTTTATTCCATGACGTCTTGCCCTACTAGATTGCAAGCTCCCTGAGGGCAGGGCTCGTGCCATCTTTGTACCTCGTGTACGTAGTGAAGATTGAATCAATATTTGTCGACTAAATGAATGCATTAGTGTAGTAGTAGATGACATCATCCCAGCAATCCCAAAGCTAGACTGCACTCTTCCCATTGCAGAGATGAGAAGAGCGTTTTGGAGATGTGAAATAACTTGCTCAAGTAGCTGGGAGCAGAGTTGAGGTCATTAACCCAGTTCTGTCTAACTCCACAGCTCTTTTATATGTGTTTTATTGTCCTTAGAAACATATGTTTTACAGGCCTATCATGTGAACACCATTAAAAATAGAAGCTGGGGCCTAAGAGCCCAGCCCAAATGTGAGGCACTCGAGGTCTGTTCCCTTCCTGAGTTTATTAGCAACGCTTTGGCTCCCAGGCACCACAGAGGCTGCGGCCGGGCTCAGACGTGGAGCTCAAGGTTTTTATCACGATGTGTGGAGCTTTAAAAGCGGACTATTAATATCATAGTGCTGGCTTCTTGGCTACTTTTCGTAGCCAACTTGGCCCCATTTCAAAATGTTTAGGCAGTGGAATGAAGATGGTTTGGGCCCGTAGGATATTTTTTTCTCTCCCAGGGCCCCACCCCCCAAAGATCAGCTGACTGTTCTTGCCCCTTCCTCGCCACAGCATTCCCTCCCTGCCTCACCTCTCCCGCTTCACTCTTTTGCAGAGACACGGTCTCAAGAGCTAATGGTTATTGCCTTCCAGGGTCCCTCTGTGTTTACTTTGAGAAGGTCAGGCACAATGCTGTGGTATGTTGCTGTTTCTTTCTTTTCAAAGCACTAGTATGAATTTGATAAAGTAAATTGTTGTTCTAGCAGGAAGCAGTTAGGGGTCACAAAATAAATAGCCGTAGAATTCAAATAAATCCAAAGAATAAAACCAAATAAATCCATGTGTGTATGCACAGTGATACATAAATACACTTTTTAGAAAGTGAGCGTTTTTATCGCTGCTGGTCTGGACCAAAGTAATTGAAAAATTGTGGAGTTCGTGGTACATTTTTTTTTTAAGAGGCGGTCTGGGGCTTCGAGCAACGTGACGTGAATTCAATTCTTTTTGAAAAACACGAAAGTGGAATTTTATCTTTTCAACCACCGCTTATCTTGGGATTTTTCGGCTCATGAAATTCACAGTTGGACGAAACCAATTTGCAAAGTTAAATCAGGGATTCAGGCATTTGGGGGTAGACTAAGAGACCCTGAAGGAGCTAAATATTGTCTCTAAATATTCTCTCGTAGTCACTGTTCTCTTCACTTGAAGATGAACGGCACATGCTTAACTGATGGTGTAAAATGACCTCTTCAGGTTGTTGGGAGATCCAATACAGAAATGAATGAATGCCTTACACATTGTGGATGGCTCTTACATCGGTGGTGGCTGTTAACAGGATGTTTTTCTTGGTCTTCCCTAGTCCTAACATTTACTGGCTCACCTTTTACTTAGGGGAGTGGTATTGCAGCTTGGTATTGAACTTGGGTGGTAGGGGAAGAGGTCTTCCAGTCTGAGAGAAGAGTAGGAACTGAGGCAAGAGTCGCCGTGTCCTGTTTTCTTGGAGGCTGTGTCAAGGGGGCCACAGACCGTGAGTCAGGAGAAGGGAGGTCCAGGTCGCGGGGCACTCCAGAGGTCACACTTTATCTCGTGCGGTGCAACGGCGAGCCGCGGAAGAAACTTAAGCAAGGCAGTGACGTGCTTGTGGTCAGGAAGTGAACCGGTAGATATGTGTGAGAGGCGGTGAAGGTCAGGAGACCGATGCGGAGGCTGCTGCAGTGACCAGGCCAGAGATCTTGTAGGCCTTCGCTTTTTGCTTCAGGGTTGTGAGGAACTTTTCCTGGCAGGTGATGGAATCCACTCGCCATGACCTTTAAGGGAATGGCATCTGAGCCGAGCCACTGATAAACCAGCAGCAGCTGCGGGAGCAGCTTGGTGCTCCCAGATGCCCTTGGGCTCCGCTCCAGAGCTCCAGGCCGCAGGGCCCTCTGCTCAGCTCTACTTCGTCTTGGTAGGGACTCTTCAGTGGAAGAAAATGGTTGAAAAGGGCACCGCTGAGCAGCTACCATGTGCCAGGCGCTACGCTGGAAGTCGCGTGTGGCTGGTTCTCCTTTTGTCGTCCCTGCAACTCATGTGTGGGGAGACTGAGGCTCGGAAAGATGGAATGACAACCAGGGGTCACATTGGACCTGAGATCCAAATTCAGCTTATCTGACCCCGAGGCCTTCACGGCTCCAAGCAGCAGAGCCTTGCGATGAGCCTCTCGAAGGGGGAATGGTGATGTCCGATGCACTTGGCGAACGACACATCATTAGACTCGGGGCCCTGTTGGCGATTGTCACTCGTTGGGCTTTAATGTCCGCAGGGTGTGGTCGCGCGGTGGGAAAGCTCCTCCCCGGCTCTTCCACTGCCTCCCACTGTGCCCTTGGACAAGACCAGAGAATAATGCGTTGCTCCTCCCGGGGGTGACCAGGAAACAGAGGGACTGCAGGTGCTGAACACTCTCTGTGGGCTGTACATAGCTGCAAATGCACGAAATTCCTGTCCCTGGCAATGGTGTTACCTGGGCTGGTCTTTGCTGCAAGTCATTCTCCGGCCTCCTTTTATTGATGTTTTCCCTTTCTCTCTCCTCTCCCTTTTTTAATTTTCCGGTGCCTGTGATGGTCGCATCTGGACCAGCGGGCCTGCCCTTCCTCATCATTGAGACAAGCACCATCAAGCCTTACCACCGAGGGTTTTACTGCAATGACGAGAGCATCAAGTATCCTCTGAAAACCGGCGAGACCATCAATGATGCTGTGCTCTGCGCCGTGGGGATTGTCATCGCCATCCTCGCGGTAAGCGCCCGGGCTGCCGTGCTCCACCTGTCCGACTTCCCCTGTGTCGTGTTTCAGGATATCTGAGCCAACGGAGGTTGGCCGCGCAAGCAGAATTTCACTCGGTTAATAATAGTGTGTATTTCATGCGGTTAATGCTGTTACCAAAAGCATATACTAAAAGTATCATCTGTATACACACATATATACTGAACGTCTTCTAAAAGTATGCTAAGCACCCCTCTACTCTACTTTGCGTGCATTATCCTCACAGCCATCCAGTGAAGTCCAGATACCGTCCTTGTTTTTCTTCTACAATTAGGAGACTGAGGTCTGCAGAGTGAAAATAATTTGCCCACGCTCACTTGGAGCGGTCGAGTTGGAATTTGAACCCATTGGTCCCTTACCTCAGAGTCTGACCTCTGAGCCATGAAGGTGAGCCCCCGAGGAGGGGTATCACAGGCATGTTCTGCTGTCTTCACACTATGGCTGTGCCTCTGTAACAGTCATGCCACTGGTGTTCTCTGGCATATTGTTTACTTCTCTCATCCAGGGGCTGTGGTGGCAGAGCGAAAATAAAATTGGGGCTTGGCATCAAGAGACCGAAGTTCTAGACCTGGCACCCCGCGGACAAGCTGTACGTGCTTAAAACCAGGGATGACCCCCTTGCTGCGTAGTGTTGTATTGAGGAGGAAAAGAGAGCATGAGCATTGAAATACTTTGCAAACTCCTGAATTGCTGAGCGGGTTACTCAGGTGCAAGTGTAAAGTCTAGACTTACATACAGCTCATCCCTTAAAGGATGAAGGCCTCATTGGGAATGCACACATGTGCCACGGTCTTTGACAGAGTCCAGAATTACTTTGGAGCAATGTTAGCCTCGTGGAAATTGGGGCATGGCCTACTTGGGCTTTACTTGGGAGGTCACCACCTTTTGTTTTCAGATGTGCCCATTTGGGGTGTTTGGGAGAGTAATTGATGATCATCCACTCTCCTAATTTGTGAGTCATACATTTTCACAGATGTCCGTTCCACATCTCCAGTATTTTCTGTTCTTTGCCCTTGAACCCCAGCCATGTAGACATAAGGGATAGGCATCATGTCCACCAAGATCATAAATTCTCCCTCTCAGATCCTTGAGTCATGTTTATATTAGCCAGAGCCTGGAAGCTTATCTTTGGCCTATATGAGAAGCCGAGAAGGAAGGAAGCTAGAGTTAAACACACTACATGTGAATTGAGTGCTAGTATTCCCATTATACGAATGGAAAATCAGAAGCTCGAAGGGGTTAAGTGATAGGTTCAAAGTCTACAGCAAGTAAAAATTGGGGCTCAAGCCTGTCCCTGGCTTATTTCAAAGCCCTGCTTCCATTTTGCAGGCGTGATTTCAAATGCAGAGTGGCTGTTCTATTCAAATTAATTGCTTAAGGGATCGGCATTTGTCTACTCATACCTACTCTGGATCAGATGGAAGCTGCTGATGGTCCTGAGCCGCATTTCATGAAGTTTTTCTTTTGACTTCCCCACTCTGGGGGTTGGTTGTAAACTTTGAGACCCCTCTTTGTTTTTTAATAACATCGTAAACCAGGCACACAATCAACAGTTTGAAATTGGGGAGGGGGGGGAGGGGGGCTGGTAGAATTCTTTCCAACCTTTAAAATAAAAACAGTCCATTGGGCAATGCTCGTAGTTTCTTAAAGGTGCACTGAGGATCTTTGTGTTCAGAAACTGAGAGATATAAAATCTAATTTTACTGTTTGTTCCAAATGGACAGTGTGGGGTTGAGTTCTGTAGGAAGAATGGCTTTTCCTGGAAGAGAAGTTTGTCGTAGAAGGCACATAATTGTGCAGTATCGTCTACTAGGGTTTGAACAGGTGTTTTTGACACTCGGGAGGATCAGTTAATTGAGTGCTTTTAGGAAGCTGACTATAACCCAGGAGTGGTTAAGATAAGACTAGCACAGGGACAAAGTGTCACATGCCCTTTGCTCTTTCTTTTTTTTTTTTTTTTTTT